TTTTTTTGGTTTTTCTCTGGTACCGGGAACCGAACTCACGACGTTGCGCTTGCCAGGCAGGCGCTTTGCCACTGAGCTAAATCCCCAGCCCCTGGAATATATATTTTTAAAGTATTTTGAACCTAAGAATGGCAAGAAGTTATATGAAATGCAAGAGTATGAAAAACATTTCTAAACTGATGCATAGTAATATTAGATAAGAACTATAATTAAATATATTACAAATGCACATGGAAGTACGCATTACCACCTATGGTCAGAATTCTAATCATGCAAACTCCTAAAGATATATCTTTGGTCCTTTTTTTTTTTTAAATTTTGGGTCAGGATCTTATCAAGTCACCAAATCACCCAGACAGGACTTGAACTCATGATTCTCCTGCCTCTGCCTCCCAGAGTGCCAGGATTACAGACATGCTCCACCCTATCTGGCTAGGCCCTTGTCTTGGAATTAGTTTTTTCAGTCTACTGTGCAGAGCAGTACTCCTCAAACGTTAATATCCGTGTGAATCACCCACATGTCTTAATACAAAGCAGAATCCTGACTCACCTTGTCTTGGGCAGGGGGAGGCCTGATGTCTGTCTTTCAGACAAGCCCTGAGCTCATGCTGATGCTGCTGGCTTGCACACCATAGCTACACACCAGTGACCTAAAGCTGAACGCTTACACGAGTGAAGACAGCTCATTCCTACAACCAACTGCTTTTCAAAATAGTAGGCATAATAAAACTTACTTATTATGGTCAAGTTGTGTAAGTCTTTTATGAAAATCTGAAGCAGCCTCAGAGAAATTTTTCACAGCAGAAAACAAGGGATCTGTAAAGTAAAAGTAAAAAACTAAGAAATGAGCAAGTATAAGTGATTCCTATTTCAGAGGTTCACTTTCCTGCCCCTCCACCGCAGACCAACAGGTAAGACTGAATCAGTGACGAACATTTTTCTACCAAGCCTTCTTGAGAATTCATGAAAAATATTATAAGATATCATAAAGCCTAGTGCAGTGGCACACACCTGTAATCCCAGCACTCAGAAGGCTGAGACAGGAGGATGGCCAGGAGTGTGAGAAAGGGCAGCCCGCCTGGGCTACATAGCAAATGCAAGGCCAGCCTGCACTACAAAACAGGATCCTGTCTTTAAAAAAAAAAAAAATATTATAAGAAAAATAAAAATGGTTCAATTAGTTCTTAAGAAATTATCTTTCAATTTCTAGGGCAAAGAAATTACTTGACCAGTAATTTTACCAAGACTTTAACCTGAATAAATTTATTTATTCATTCAATATATATTTATTAGGACAATTCCTACAATATAGACACTAGGTACAACTCTAAATAAACTATGATTTTTGTAACTGCAGTATTAAAACAATACCCATCCTTGTTTGAAAGGTAATGGATGGTAAAATATCATATATTCAGACTCTGTGAATGAGGGGCTGGTGTTGGGTTTGGTTTGATTGAATTTTTCTTCAGTTTGCAAAGTTCCTGAAGAAAGTGATTAGGTTCTCAATATATTATATATTTATTGCAAAAACCTATTTACTATTTTCCCTGTTTCCTGCACAGAATGTTAACGTATATTATTGATTTGCTGTTTAAACAAATTCTATGATTCAGGCAAAGCAAAAGATACAATATTCATCTTACAGAAAGCACTCACAGCTAAAACCACAGGATTTCTATTGGGTCACCAGCTACTAAGTGGTATGTTTAAGATAAGTACATTCAGTATTACAAAACAAAGGCTACCAGGCATGGTGGCGCATGCCTGTAATCCCAGCACTCAGGAGGCTGAGGCAGGAGTATCCTGGAGAGTTCAAGACCACCCTAGGAGGGGCTGGGGATTTAGCTCAGCGGCAAAAGCGCCTGCCTGGCAAGCGCAAGGTCGTGAGTTTGGTTCCAGGTACCGGAGAAAAACCAAAAAAAAAAAAAAAAAAAAAAAAGACCACCCTAGGCTACAAAGTGAGCTGAAGGTCAGCCTGAACTGCGTAGTAAGACAAACAAACAAACGAAAAAATGCCTTTTTAGTCAATTCTAGATTTAGTTCTTTAAGCTTTATTTGTTGTTTTTTAAACCATGTTAAAACCAAATAATCTGGCCAGGGATATAACTCAGTGGCACAGTGCCTGCTCAGCAAGTGTAAGGTCCTGAGTGTGATTCCCAGTACCAAATAAATAAATAAATAAATAAATAAATAAAACCAAATAATCTAAGAATGGATCTGATGAAAACCAAAAGAAGAGAGTATTGAAGAAGAAATTTTTAATTTCAAATGTAGTATAGAAACTTAAAAAAACCTGAAATATCTCCCTAAAATGCAGTGTCACAGATCAGCAAACACTTTGACAAGCACATTTTCAGTAGAATAATAGAGAAATAGATAGCACGATGAATTGGCTCTGGGAGGTAAAGAACTGGAAACATGGAGTGCAATTAAGTAGTCATCCTTTCATTCATTGGACCTTCATCTTCATTACAATATTTTCTGAAGAACTGCTTTTGTCTGGCATGAAGTGAAGAATTTGGTGAAGGCAGTGGCCACATCAAGAAAAGAAATGCCATTGTTAAGACAGAAAATGTGTGGGAATGTTCCACCTGATGGACATTCACCAACAGAGATGGGGATTAAGAGAACATGGCAGAGAAATGAAGTAACAGACCAGACAGGCCCCTAAAAAGATATGCAAGCAAGAATTACATAACCACAATCCCCTGTATTTTCTTTGCTTTCTTTCATTTTTAGCTCCAAGTATTTACTGTTCTTCATAACTTGATAAATATGACTAACCTTTATGTAAAAATATGCAAAGTAAATTCAAAATCAATACTGACCCCTCTCTACCAATTACCTCTTCCCTTACAGTTACTCCTTATGACCCCTCTAAGCTTGTCCTCAGCGTTTTGTTATCTTTTGCAATGAGATATTTAAACTCTTTGAGGACTTTGGCTATGTCTTAGGCATACTCTGGCTCCTAGGAATGTTGTAGTATTAAGAAGATACACAGTAGATCCTCTGCATATATTTACTCATTTTGGTGTATACCAAGAATATGTACCCCAAATAATAAAAGAATGATTACAATGAGACAGTGATAAGGCAACATTTATTGAGCACTAAACACCAGCTACCACTACTTCTTTATATTCCTGCCTAACAATCTCCACAGCAATCTTTGAAACACTGAGTTCTTTCACTTCATTAGTTACCTTGTAAGAAAACTGACACATTAACTAGCTTGCAAAGGTCGCACAGCCTAGAGGGTAAAGCCAGCAGTTCAATCAGGCAAAACGCTTCCTGACCCAGTTCTCAGCACTGCTACACTGCATTCCATTCCATTCCTACTTCAGGGACACACAGAGCAGAGGAGCAACTACTAAGTTGCCAATTGTAAAAGGAAAGATTGCTTAGAACTATGTAAAACTTATTCTTTAGGTAGAAAAACACTAATAGATGATGTGTTTCCCAGAAAATAAGAACTAGCTAGAAAATAATCAGTGTGGACACTAGAGATCCAAAATCAGCCTCAATCAGCCTGTTTCTGCTTTACCAACCATCACTATTTTCTTGCTCAGTGGCTGCTCAACAAGGCAGCTGAGGCAGGGGTAGTCTCGTTGTTGCTGACATTTTTGATCTCTAATTTTTAAGGCTGATTATTTTCCCACTCGGTCTTATTTTCAGGGAAACAAGGTGTATATTGTAATAATAATAATAGTGTATATATGTAGTAGAACTGGTAGTTTCTCTACTTTTCAGTCTTTTTGTGATATTGCATTTTCCTTCTTTTTTTCTTGTAAAAATAAAAATGCTTCTAAGAGTAGTAATACAAAAAAATATGTACCAGCCCAACATTTGTACTGCTAACTCAGCCATAATGGATTCATCCCATATATAACAGATTAAATCAGATTCCTAAATAGGTGTTTATTTAAAGTTTTTGTGTCTAAAAGTTAGAACTAGGCAGTGAGGTAGGATTATAATCTAGAACAAAGCAGTGTGCACAGATCATGGATAGGAGATATTTTAGAGCCCTAGCTCACAGATTACAAAATATCTTACCAAATGATACTTTGTAGTCTCTCAGCTGTTGGCCGTGTCTCCTGGCGATACTGAAGATACTTGCTGCATAGTGTTTCAAAGCCTTCGCATAGTCTTCAGCGTTGAAAGGAATGACTGCAGAGTCTGCGAGCTCGTACACCAGCGCGCCTCGTAGCTGAGCCACGGAAAGCTGCTTCTTAAACATTGGGTCATAAAACTTCTCCACCAATTCAAATGTCTCATAAATAGTATGGTACACAGGGTAACTGCTATATTTATCTGTTTTCTGAAAAAAAAGGCAAAGGCATAACCGTAAAGTAATATTAAATATTCAAGTTATTTATGTAATCAGAAATGACTAGAGAAAATATATGTGATGGCCTGTTTTATCACAATGAAGCAAAAAAGTTAAAATCTTAATTAACTGAAGTACGACCACCAAATGGTCAGATTTAAAATTTTATCTTTTTTCATGGTAACTTATCTAAGCTTTCACTCAAAATGCTGCTTGTGATAGCTTGTGTCCAGAGGTTCCCCTCCAAACCCTCATGGGCTTTTGCAGAGGTGGCTGAATCTAGAGTGTGTGACCGATTCATGACACAGTGCTAGGATTAAGGATGCTGGGATTACGGTGGGTGATTGCTGAATCAGTCCGCTGGTTGGTTTGGGACCACCCTAGGTCTGGTTTCCTGGATGCAATATAAGGAACAGAAAGAGGTTTCTCTTGTCCCTTGCTTGCTTCTTTTGCTGCCTTCTGCCCACCATGAACTGTTCTTCTGTGATGCCGCCCTGACTTGGAGCCAGCTGATCATGGACTGAAACCTCCACAAACTGTGAGCTAAATAAACCCTTCCTCCTTTAACTTTGAGTATCAGGTATTTTGTCTCAGCAATGAGAGAAAAGTAAGTAAGATATCACTTCTGGAAAATTTTCTTCACTGCATTTCTGATAATTAAAATTGAAAAACATATTCAAATTGCATATCAGCATACTTCAAAATTATCTGTCAGTTGACTAGAAACTCAAGGTCCTGAACAGCTTAGTGTCCATATACCTGAAGGATAATTGATCTAAGACCTACCTTTCCTTCCCAAAAAGTATATAACTAAATGGCATTTAACTTTTACTTTTCTTTGCAACAGGGTCTCACCATATAGTTCAAGAGTCTGGCCTTGAAGCCCAGGCTGGCCTCTAACTTGCAGCAATCCTCCTGCATCAGCCCTCCCCGTGATGGCATTATAGGCATGGGCCACCATGCCCAGAGGCTTACATGCATAAGTTTTGATAAATTTCAGTTGTTTAAAATAAAATCGAATTTTTATGGTAGTAAATGATAAAATAGACTATTATGTACACATATTGTATGCACTCATTACATACCATGTTTTTCAATATTCCTGGCCTATGTGGTTCATTTGTAAGTTTTTTTCAAATTGTAGCCAACCTCCAAAAAGACCTGCATGTGAGTTAACTGCACCCATGCAGCTTAAAGATGTTGTTCAAAGGATAACTACATTAAGTGTAGTGAGAATTAGTATGCAATATGTGCATCTGTTTTGAAATATTCTGGAGCTTTTTTACTTCTTTGTTCTTAGTTGTGCTCTTGATAACCAAAGTTGCACTTAACCTATCACAGACAAACAAGACACTAGCGTATTACACTTTTATTTGAAAATGGATTAAAAGCTGTGAAAAGACTGTAATGTAGCTTTCAGTTTGGTTTATGACATAGAGTATATCATGGACAAGAAAACACGGTATATGTCAGCTACAGCCAAGTGCTGTGCATCATTAAGATTCTCACAGTGGTGCTAACTCGTGCAGAACACAAAAGAGGTTGAAAATAAAAATAAGAAAAACTTTATTCTCAATCTGAGAGCCCTTGGCTCATAGAGGCATGAGTAAGAACACGTAAAGGAGTTAATAATAACAGTATCCAAGCCTGGTATGGCCTCAGCCAAAACATGTCCTCTAACTGCATTTTCTTCAGGAAAAGTATATCAGAGTGTACAAGACCAGGATTTGTTCCAACAAAGACTGCATAAACAAAAAGATGTGAATTACTAGCACTGAGAACCAGTTAAGTATCTGGCATTAATGCTTGAGTTGCCATTTCACTGAACAATCCCAGTGCAAAAATACTCACAAAACAACTCAGATTACTTAGTGATCCATCTACAGGGTGTAGGCAATTTGTCTGCACCCCTGGAACTCTTCCCAGGCTGCCCGTCTACCTGGAGCCTCATGTCAAACATCTCACTGACAGAGCTCCTCACCCAAGAAAGACAAGTGAGATGCTACCAGAGTTTGCAATTGCAATGTTTCCCACAGGACCACCTATTAAAGTTTTGGTTCAAGGATTGGCACCCTTAGGAGATGGTGGAACTTTTAAGAAGTAGGCCTAACAGCTGGGCATGGAGGGATATGCCTGTAATCCCAGTCCTCGGGAGGCTGAAGAACAAGGATTGCTGTGAGTTCAAGGCCAGTGTGGGCTGCAAAATGAGTTCAAGACCAGCCTGAACTGCATAGTGAAACCCTGTCTCAAAAAGACAAAGAAAAAGAACACAGGCCTAGTGAGAGAGAGTCATGGGTCACTGGGGGTATGCCACTAAGGGGGTGGTCTCCCACTGCCTGTATGAGGGGAGCAGTTTCTTCTACCACGTGCTGCCTAGCAGGATGTGCGGCCTTGCCAAGGGCGCAAAAGCAACAGGGTCAACTGACTGGGATGGAAACCTCAGAAAGAGTGAACCAAATGACTTCCTCTCTTTACTAGCTGATTACTTTGGACGTTCTGTTACAGTAGTGAAAACGCAAAATATAAAATGACTTACCCTATTTTTAGTGTAACGAGCTCTGCCTGAGGCAATCCCAAGTCTCTGAAAATAAGCTTCAAAATCACTTCCAGATCCCAGTTTATTGATTCTAGGTATGGAATATAAACAAATAAACACATAAATAATACAAAATTAAATATATGGGGCCATGAATCCTGCAAATGAACAGCAAGGAATCACCTGGAACATTTGTTATAAGAATTAGAAAAAGATTAATAGCTCTCGAGATACTTTTCTGTTGTGTGCCACAAAACTGCTGTGATAAATCTAAATATCTGCATGAATACAATCAGAATTGGGTAGTGCCACCAAAACTGCAGCCTAATGACAATGCTGCTTTATCTTTAATTGCATTATCTTTAATTATTTATTATTATTGTTTGTTTGTTTTTGAGACAAGGTCTTCTATGTAGAGTTCAGGCTGGTGTTGCACTCACTATGTAGCCCAGGCTAACTTCAAATTCAGTGATCCTCCTGCCTCAGCCTTCAGAGCGATGGGATTAATGGCATACACCACCACACCCAGCTTGTTTTCCATTATTTTAGCGCTTATGTTATTTGTTTTGTTTTGTCTTTTTGAGACAAGGTCTTGCCATGCAGTTCAGGCTAGCCTTGAGCTCACTTCATAGCCCAGGCTGACTTCAAACTCGCAGTAATCCTCCTGCCTTAGCCTCCCAAGTGCTGGGATTACAGGCATGTGCCACCATGCCTGGCTTATGTCATTTGTTTGAGGGGAAAACAATGAAACAATGGACTTTCCTTACCCTTGGAGAATTACAATGTGATTAAAAAACTGTCATGGGGATCTATATTTAAGGTCATGAAGAATCTAAGCATGCCTTATTTCATGTCAGAAAGAAGTCTCATTATATTGCTCTGCTTAATATAAAAAACTGTACACACATGCATATATATATAGATATATATTATATATAAAATACCTATATATGATATATATGCAAGGACATGGAAAATTTGAGGGATATAATGGTAAGTCACTAAAACAAAATATAAACTATATATATGTGTTAGGAACATAACTATATATTTCCCCACTAATAGATAAAGTAGTTTTGAGATTGAGGCTCTGGATATTTTAAAATTATTTTTTGTATTCTATTTTAGTTGAATAAGCATGTCAAATATTTACTATGGAAATGCATTTAAACTTTCATAAGAATGAGCTGGCATATAGAATGAAGCCATAAACTACCACCATCAACTATAGGTATTAGAAGGTAACACTGCATAAAAAAAGCAAGTAAGTATGAAATAAACTCAATGCCAGACATGGTGGCACACACCTATAATGCCAGAATTTGAAAGGCTGAGGCAAGAGGATTGCTCTGAGTTCAAGGCCAGCCAGGGCTACATAGTGAGCTCAAGGCCACCCTAGACTACATAGGGAGACTCTGTCTCCAAAAAAAGGCAACTTCTGGGAAGATGGTGGAATAGAAAACAGCAGAGAAAGACCCTTTTTCTGAGATGTGATGTCAAGAGACTGGCATATATGAGCACGAAGAAGAGAAAAATGAGGCAAGTGGGCCCCAGGACCCAGCAGGACCTGAAGTTAGAATTAAAGCCCACGGGAAGAATGAAGAGAGAGCTTCAACACAGAAGGAGGCGGCAGGCAGTGCTTTCTGCCTGAGACTAGACTCATGGTAAGAGAGAGGTGGCTTGAACCTGCAGACACACAGTGAGTATTGGTGACCCCAGAGGCCTCCACAGACAAATGCACCATGGGACTGAGTGGTGGACATGGCAGACTGTGAGATATTTGGGTTCAGATGTCTTCGACCAGAAGGTGACTGGTCAGTAGCCATCATGGAGAAGGGCCCACTGGGATGGGAACTCGGAACAGCTGTGGGCCAGCTCCATCTAGAGGCTCCCAGGTGGAAAGTACAAATTGACAGGAGGTCAAGTAGCCAAGTTCAAACCATCTGGCAGCTTTAAGTTCAAGTTCACAGGAGGAACAAAGATTTCTACAGTCTGAAAACATCAGCATCCAGCCTCACAGCCAGGCCAGCCTGAACTTCGGTGTGATATGGAAGTGCAGGATCCAGAGATTATCCAGTACCCAGAAGTAAAGCTACAACTGGCTTCTAGGATTAATCAGTGTAGATCTAGACTCTTGTCTACCCAATTTGTCGGCTAGTGAAAACAGAGACACACATTTGAGTTGGCTTTTTCCCTTATTTTCACTTTTCCTCTTTCTTCTTGTTTGTTGTTTTCTTGTTTCTTCCTGTTTTTATAGGAATGGGAACATGTCTGTAGTTTTTTTCTTGTTCTGTTCTCTTCTATTCTTGTCTTAAATTCTTCCTTCTTTCTTTGTTCCTGTCTTCTTCACTAGTTTCCCAAAGTTTGCACAATCTTTCTTTTCCTTCAGCCTTGCTTTTAATCTCCTCCCCTTCTTCTCTTTCTCTATTTTTTTCCTCCTAGCCCCTTTTATATTTTCTCCCTTGAGGGTAAAATTGCCATAATGACAGTTGATTTATTGTGTATAATTTTCTGGTTCTTTTTAGATTTTAATATATAACTGCAAATCCAGTTCTTACAGTTAAAGGTGGAAAATTAAGAGTTAACATAGTTTGTCATTGTCTAGGCTGTATTTGATGCTATTGTTATTGCTAATTGTACTACTTTAGCCAAGGTGACATAATTCCTCCACTCAGTTGTTTTTCCTGCTGTGCCAAGACTGAGATTTCCTAACAGTCATAAGCAATATTATAGGCCAATGACAGAGGAACAGGGGCTGGTCCAATTAGGCAGCTGTTTGTCCCTAATAAATTTAAAAAGGAGGTTCTTGAAACAGACTCAAAACCCAAAAGCCAGCTACACTTGAAAGACATCTCTGAGAAGTAGTCATTTATTATGGATTCTAAATACCACCAATAAAGCTACCTGCCCTAAGCAATTTGCAAGCATCAAACCAGGAATTAAACTTAAAATGATATAAAATGAGAGGACACATAAGCAAGATGAAGCCCCAGACTTCAGCTCACCAAAAGCAAACCTAGAAGACAGTGAGGTGGAACAAGTTGAAAGCCACCTCCCTGGACTGTCTGAAATGGAAAGAGCAGTAGTAACAAAGCAAATGAGTGAGGCTCTAGAAAAGTCAAATCAGAAATAATTTCTCACATAACTACATAAATGGTGACAATAATGAAAGACAATGTTTAGTGACAGATACAGATAAAAAAAATGTAGGAGCTTAGGAAAATGATGGAAACCATGAATTCTCAGCATAGAAAGAAAAGGAATCCATAAAACAGATTCAAACAGATATCCAGGAGATTAAATATTGCATTAAAAGTGTAGGCAGCAGAATGAGCCAATATGAGGGCAGGGTATCAAATAAAGAAGACAGGACTGTGCTTATCAATCATGAAAAGAAGGCTTCCTAAAAATAGCAAGGGATCATAAAAAGTCAATCCAACAGGTGCTAGTTGATGCAAAGAAAAATAATGTAAGATTGATCGGAGTCAATAAAAAAGCAAGAGACAGTATACATGACATAAAAACCAGGGCACAGACATCAAGGCAGAAAAATTTTCATGGCAGGGAAAAAGTTTGACATACAGAGAAGTGAGGCATCCAGAACTCCAGTTAGCCATTATGAAAAATAGCAAGGCATATAATAGTCAAAGTTCTTGAAATTCAACACAAGACTAGAATATTAAAAGCTGTTAGAGAAAAGAAACAAATCACCTATAAGGGAAAGCTCCTCAAAATAACAGTAGACTTACCACCATAAACCATCATGTCAAGGAGAGCTTGCAGTGAAGTATTTCACTGAAAAAAAAAAAAAAAAAACCAACTTCTAACCCAGATTGATGTATCCCCAATCTTTCTAAACTGATGGAGAAAGAAGATACTTCTCTGATAAAGAACACACAGGGAAATTCATGAACACTAAACCGGCACTCCAGAATATTCTGAAGGACATTCTAGAAGCAGATAATGAAGATTGTAACTCCATGAACCTCAGTAGAATGAAGCCAACAGGCAAGGCAACCAGTTAAACAGAGGAGGGAAAAGGGAGCCAACCACAAAAAATAGCACGACGAGGACATTAGTGCACATCAATTATAACCATCAATGTTCACGGTCTCTATTCACCAATCAAAAGAAACACACTGACAGAATGGGTCAAGAAGAACAGTCCAACAATATGCTACATACAAAAAATCCATTTCATTCAAAATGAATATCATAGACTAAAAGTTAGAAGATAGAAAACAGTACTTCGTAAGACAAGAAACCAGAAAAAATCAGGGGTAGCTATTCTATTTGCAGACAAGGTGGATTTCAAGCCAAGACAGACTGAGAGACAAAACAGGTCACTACATCCATTGTCAAGGGAACAACCCCAGTGGAGAAAGAACAATCATAAAAATATATGCACCAATTACCAGGGCACCCAACTACCTAAAACTAATATTAACAGACATCAAAAATCAAATAAGCACTAATACAGTTGTGATGGGAGACCTTAATACTCCACTGTCACAAACAGACAGATCAACTAGACAAAAAAATCAATAATGAAATAGCAGAACTGAACCAAACTTTTGAACAAATGGATTTAGTGGATGTCTACACAGCATTCTACCCCACAACATTAGATATGTATTCTTCTGAGCTGCACATGGGACATTCTCCAAAATAGACTGCATACTAGCTCATACTTGCTTAAGTAAGTGCAAAGGAATTGAAATTATCCCATGCATATTATCAGACCATATTGCATGAAATTGAAAATCAATGGCAAAAAGCCACAATAACTTCATTAAACATATGGAAATAAAATAACAGCCTCCTGAGCAACCAATGGGTCACAGATGAAATTAAAGAAAAAATTAGACAGCTTCTATAACTAAATGATAATTCTAATAGGACATATTGGAACTAATGGGACATAATGAAAGCAGTCCTATGAGAGAAATTTATAACAGTGAATTCCCATATCAGAAAAACAAAGCGAGGTCAAATAAACAACATAATGTAGAACCTTAAAGTTCCAGAAAAAGGACAAGTCAAGCCCAAAGCTTGAACGAGGGAGGAAATTATAAAGAGTAGAAATTAATTCAATGGATACTAAGAAAACAATAAAAGAAGCAATGAACTGAAGAGTTGGTTCTTTGAAAGATTAAGTAAAATTGACAAACTCTTAGGTAGCATTATTAAAAAAAAGAAAAATCCACATAATTAGGGATGACAAGTGTGAAGTAACAACAAATCCTACACAAATTCAGATTATCAATACCTACTTTGAGAACCTGTATTCTGATAAGATGAAAAATGCAGAAGAAATGAACAGCTTCCTAGACATGTGAATTACCAAAGCTGAATTGAGAACATATAAAAATTCTAAATAAGACAGTATCAGTGAATGAAAGTGAAGACATACTAAAAAACTTACCAGCAAAGAAAAGCCCAGGTCCTGATGGATTCATTGCTGAATATTATAAGAAATTGAGAAAAGAACTACCCCTACTGATGAAACTCTTTAATGAATTGAAAGGGAAGCAATACTCCCAAATTCATTCTTTGAATCAAGCATTACCCTGATACCAAAACTAGGGAAGGACCCAACCAAAAAAAGGGAACTACAGTCCAATCTCCTTCATGAACATAAATGCAAAAATCCTCAATAAGACAGTGGCAAACAGAATGTGGCAAATCATCCAAGAAGCTCATACACCATGACCAAGTAGGATTCATCCCAGGGATGCAGCGATGGTTCCACAAATCAATAAACGTAATACATATTAACAGACCCAAAGACAAAAACCATATGATCATCTCAATAGATGCAGAAAAAGCATTTGACAAGGTCCAACAACCCACTTATGATAAAAAACCTACAGAAAATTGGAATAGATGGTATTTATCTCAATCTGATCAAAGCCACCTATGACAAACCAACTGCCAACATCATGCTTAAGGGATGAAAAGTGAAAGCTTTCTAAAATCAGGAACAAGAAAGGATGTCCACCGTCACCACTCTTATTCAAAAAAATTCAGGAAACATTAGCCAGAACAATTAGACAAGAGAAAGAAATAAAATTAATAAGATTAGAAAATGAAGAAGTTAAATTTTCATTATTTGCAGATGACATGATACTTTGCATAGAAGACCCTAACAACTCCATCAAAAGACTTCTAGATATAATGACCAAATTCAGTAGCATAGTTGGATACAAAGTCAACACTCAAAAATCAAAAGCATTCCCATAGATGAATAACAAACTCACTGAGAGGGTAACTAGGGAAACAACATCTTTCACAATAGCAGCCAAAACAATTGAATACTTAGGAATCAATTTAATGAAGGAAGTAAAAGACTTTTACATTGAAATCTACAGTACTCCAAAAAAGGAGATCAAGGAGGATAACACAAAATGAAAAGATATCCCTTGCTCTTGGGTAGGAGAACGAATAGAGTGAAAATGGCCATACTTCCAAAATTGTTACATAGATTTAATGCAATCTCTGTCAAAATTCCAATAGCATAACATTGAATTAGAGAAAAAAATTCTAAAATTCATTTGGAACCAGAAGAGACTTAGAATAGCAAAAGCAAGTCTGGGCAACAAAGGCAATGCAGTGAGCATCACAATCCCTGACTTGAAATTATACTACAACACTACTGTGATAAAAACAGCATGGCTTGGCGAAAAACAGACGCGAGGATCAACAGAAGAGATTAGAAGATGCAGAAACAACTCCAATCATACTCGGCCACCTTATCTTTGACAAAGGGTCCAAAAACCTTCACTGGAAGAAAGACAGTCTCTTTAATATATGGTGGTAGAAAAACTGGCTTTCCACATGCTGGAAATTAAAACTATACCTGTATCTTTCACCATGCACTACATCAAAATCAAAATGGATTAAAGATATAAATATTAAAACAGAAACACTAAGTTTCCTGGAAGATAGAATAGGTAGTACTCTTGAAGCCACAGGTGTAGGCAAAGACTTTATAAACAAAACCCTGATCACACAGGAAATATCACAGAGAATCAACATATTATTGAAAAGCTTTTACAGAGCAAAACAAACCACCAACAGAGTAAAGAGACAACCTACAGACTGGGAAAAAAAATTGTCAGCTATTTCCTAGAAAAGAACTACTATCAAGAATATATAAAGAACTCAAAAATAAAAAAAACCAGACCCCGTCCAAATTTAAATACCCAAACCAAAAATAGGCATTCAAAATGAATAAACACTTCTCAGTGAAGAAATAGAAATGGCAAATAAGTATACGTTCTATATCACCAGTCATTTAAGAGATGCAAATTAAAACAACACTGAAATTGCATCCCACTCCAGAAAGAATGGCTACTATCAGGAAATCAACCAATAACAAATGCCTGGCTGTGGGGAAAAAGAAACCATGCTGTACTGCTGGTGGGAGTGTAGACTGGTGCAGCCACTGTGGAAATCAGTGTGGAGATTCCTCAAAAAACTAAAATTTGAGATTCCATTTGATTCAGCTATTCCCCTTCTTCCTATTTTCCCCCCAAAATTAAAAGCATCATACCACAGTGATTTGCTCACACCCATGTTTACAACAGTACAGTTTGTAATAGTTAAATCCTGGAAACAGCCCAAATGGCCTTCCACTGATGAATGGATGAAGATGTATTTTTTTTTATACGAAGGAGTACTATTCTCCCATAAAGTAGTATAAGCCTGAGACATTGCTAGGTAAATGGATGCACCTTGAGACCATACTCTTCAGTGAAATAAACTGCATGTTCAAATATCACACTGTTTCTTTGGTGTGAGAAACCAAAAGTGTAAACAAGGCCCAAAATGTGTAACAGATACTAGGAAACAGGAAGATGTTCAAAAGAGAAGGGGAACAAGGGAGCCTGGCAAGCGCAAGATCCTGAGTTTGATTCCCGGTACAAAAAAAAATTATATAAGAATGTCAAGTAGTAACTGTAGCAAAATCATTTTTACTAAAAATGTTCAAAATAAGGCCTACCTGGGCTCCATTGTAAACAAAAGCTGCACAGAGGAATCTTTTATTACCCTCACTCAAATGATTGATGATACATCTGAGAATAAAATGTTTGGAAACAAAGGGGCAAAGGGAAATTCATATTTAATCCTATGGTAAAGAAAGATGCACATACATACTTTACCTAGGGAAGTCTTTATTATCTGGTGATGGGTCTTTTTGCAACCAACTTTCATAAAGTGATTTCCTCTCAAAACCATCATCAGGGCTGGGAATCTAGAAAGATAAAAACAAAATCCTGGAGATTAGGGGAAGATGTAATCATATTTATGCCAACATAAAACATATATTACACTGCTCAGTACCTACGTGCACATACATACCATGTTCACTCACTGAAAAATATCTTTTAGTGAATGGCAAGAGAAAATCTAGCACAAATTCTTGTTTTTCTTTTAGACAGGGTCTCACTATGTGTAGTCCAGGCTGGCCTTGAACTCACTATGTAGCCTAAGCTAGCCTTGAAATCACAGTGATCCTCCTGCTTCAGCATCCCCAGTGCCAGGATTATAGGCATGTGTCACCTTGTCTGGCTCTTGTTCCTTTATGATGCCTACCATTTTAGTAACTCTGCCTAATGTATTCTTGGCACAATTAAGAATTTTGCTCATTTCCTGCTTACTTTGGTAAACTTTTTCATAGCGTTCAAAATTTTTCCGCAATATCACATAAGTGTTTGCACCTTGGATTTCTTTTAGTGGAAAGACACTGGGAAAAACATTAGATATAATATTTACTTTAGTAACATACTTTAGCCAGGAAGACTTTCAAACAAAACTCAGAGCAGAAAAGATAATATAAATGTAGGTCAAGAAGCAGGACTTGCTGGGTGTGGTGGCACCCGCCTGAATCTCAGCCATCACCACGGAGTTCAAGGCCAGCCTGAACTAGATGGTGAAACCCTATCTCAAAGCTGAACTTGACATTGTCACCTTAAGTCTTGCTTTTGCAGGGCAGGTGGGGGTTGGGTATAGCTATGTTAGAAAGTCTAATTATGCTGAAACAAAATTGAAATTGTACATTTTTAAAACTCTACATAACCTCAGATTTCTATTCAAAATGTTTAAGATCATCTATCTATCTATCTATCTGTAGATAGATACATAGATAGATATCATTTTTTTTTGCTTTCTGCTATGGTTTTGTGTCCCCCAAAGCTATGCTGACAGTTTATTTGTTTATTTTTTTTTGGTTTTTCTCCGGTACCAGGAACTGAACTCATGACCTTGCACTTGCCAGGCAGGCGCTTTTGCCGCTGAGCTAAATCCCCAGCCCCAAATGCTGACAGTTTAATCCCCAAAGACAGATGGCATTGAATGGTGAGACATTGGAGAGGTGACAGGAGTCAAAAAAGGTCATGAGGGCAGGGTTCCAAGGGTGAGACTCGTGGCTTTGTAAGAAGGCCTCTTGTCTTGCCGTGCGATGCCTTTCTCCACATTATGACACAGAAGCCCTCACTAGATGCCCACTCCTTGCCTGGGACTTTTGCTTCCAGTACTATGGGCCAATAAATTTCTGTTCATTATAAATTACCCAGTCTGTACATTCTGTCAGAGCAGCAGAAAACATACGCAGAGAACCTTCCCTATAAGCATACCTGAAAACACGCTTTTGTTATCCTCCAACATAGAATGAGGAAGGCCCAGTGGTGGGCACCCTGTGGACTAGCGAGTCGAGCAGGCCTCTCACAGCTCCAGACCACCACTCCTATTGGCTATAGCTTGTTTGTTTACTTGTTGAGAAGTTTGTATTTTTATTTTTGTTCTTTGTGTGTGGGGGTTATGTTTTTATTTGTTCTTTAAGATGTTATCTTACTATATTCCCCAGGCTGGTCTCAAACTGCTAGGGGACGTAAGCTATCCTCCTGTCTCAGCCTCCCAGATGCTGGGAATCCAGGCATGTACTGCACCCAGTCTCCTAACTTTGACCAATTAAACATAGGCCAAGGTAGACTATACTTACGTAATTCAAAGAACTATAATATGGAGTGTTGCTTTATCTCTTTAGGCCCTTGTTTTCTTACCTGTAAAAATGGGGATGATGGCAACCTTCTAAACTTAGTCTCCTCTGACACCTTCTCTGACCCATGCACAGCGGTGGTGCTCCCAGCTCTGTGCCGCTATCCATGAGCAAAGTTCCCAGGAATTTACTGAGAGATGAACTCAGAATCAGGAGTGGGGAAAGCTTCTTCCCCTCAACACAGTCTAACTCAATCAGGCACACATCAAACAAATATACAGTGCAAAGTAATGGCAGGAAATGCAAAAGAAAATAGCAAAGTGCTACAGACAATTGCAGATAGCGGATGAGAGGCAGATGCACCCTAAGGAAAGCCTTTCTGAGAAAACAGCAATGCCATTTCAGAGCACGTAATAAAGCTGTCAGGTGCCCGCACACACCTCTGAACAAACTGCCCTGCATCTATTCACATGTGCGAAGGAGTGGTGATTGCTTATAGCACAGGGCTTCATCAGCCTTCGAACAGACAGTGACAGTGATGAATCCATCTTCTCCCAGAGTACTAGGCAGGCTAGGATTAGTCATTTGCCCTGTAGCCTCATATAGATAAGATGGTACTTCATCATCACATGCAAAGCCTTCGATTTAGAAACAGCTCGGTTGCAGGATGCCATGGCATGCACCTGTAGTTCCAATTACTTGAGAGGCTGAGGCAGGAGGATTGCTTGAACTAGGGATTTCAAGGCCAGCTGTGTAATGTAGCAAGAACAAATCTAAATAACAACAACAACAACAACAACAATAATAATAATAACCAGAAACATCCCCCTGCATTTTGTAACTGCAAAGATTCTCTGCTCTCTTCTAACTAGCTGCCTGGGTTCTACTTTATCTCTGTGTTCCTGTCAATTTCCAAAGGCAGAGCTCCTACTGAAGTTCTTGTGTCTAGTGGATTGTATTGACTTCCCAGCACAGTCCTCATTGGTGGGGATCACGCCATTTCAGCTTCTTGCTAACCTGAACTGTATCCCTTTAATCTGCTCACTCTCTACCAGGCTTAACTGCCTCAGCTAGATGCACTCCAGGCACTGGTATCGTACTCCTTTCATGTATAAATCCCGGATCCCATTCCTTGCTATATGCGGCAACTGCCCTTCCATACTCTCAAAGTGTGGTTGATTTGACACATTAAAGGCTGAACTGTAATAATGAATCTACAGGGAAGTAAAAAGCCATTTGGTTTACTGCATCTTGGTATGGCCATAAATAGACATTTGCTTTTGTACATAGGGACATGGACCTCTCCATCCTTGCCATCCCTGACGTCAGAGGGAGGAGCCAGCTTTCCACCACATCATAAATGCACTTTCAAAAAGGGCTCTGTTTCAGTTTGCATGTAAGTAAGACGTTTCTGTGGACATTTCAGTGAAATGAGGGTGAGAGAGCTGTGGTGAGCATGGTAAGAGAACGTTCATTTGGGAAAATGAGTTTTTAGAGAAACAGTAAAAAGGCAGAGGGTACATTAAGGGAGACTAGGAAATATGAGCCAGAATAAAATGACACCTACTTCATGTTCTCTAGGGCTGCCCTGGAAGTAAACATTTCTATAAGCAAATTCAATAGCAGGGAACCACTTACGTAAAGTACACAGGTAGTAAATAAGCAGATTATATAATGCTTAGACTTAAAGTGCATTAACTTTCAGGTTATTTCAATCTATAATTCATTTAATATTTATAACATTCCTAGGTAATATGCCAGCATGAATGTTTCTACTTTGCCTTTAGATTTACTATTGCTTAATCTATTCATCACATAGACGTGCAAACAATGAACACTCTTGTCAAAAATTAATTTCTCTATCCCAGATGCAAATTTATTGTCCTATTTTTCATGCACTATTTTTTTTTCTTTTTGGTCTTTTTGAGACAGAGTCTCACTATGCAGTTCAGGCTGGTCTTGAACTCACTATGTAGTCCAGGCTGGCCTTGAACTCGTGGCAGTCCTCCTGCCCAGCCTCCCCATGCACTATTTCCTATCACCTTTCCATCAATACTGTGTGCTAAGGGCACACTGAGCCAAATGCAGGTCAGAAGACAGGCTCTTTAATACCTCCACATCATTCTTCAGTACTGAGTCCCCTGCTTAGCAGCCCTGTCTCCCACTTCTATATGCTTACATCTGATAGTCCAAGCATTTGTTATCCGGCACTGGCTGGCCTTGGGAGTCTCTATCCTGTAGATTATTCTTTGAATTCAGTGCCCTCTTATCCCTGGTATTACTGGAACTCATTTTCTAGGGCTTGACTCAAAGTAATCCCCCAGTGAACATTTGCTGAATGAAGAAAGAAGTTGCTCGCAAAGGTAATTTTTGAAACCAAGGCTTTTCCATTTCAACTCAGTGTTCTTTGCACTGTATCAAAATACTCCTACTAGATTAATATTAGATTCCCTACGCAAGTAGGAACACAAGTATTAACAAGAACTGGCAACACTATCTTCACAAAGTTATGTCACAAAGTAAATCATGTATTAAAGATTCTGTTTGTACTTGTTATTTACCAATCAGCTATAGTACAGTCTGTTATCAACTTAAAACTAAGTGCTTCTAATTAAGTAGGAAAAAATGTTATGCATTCATCAGGTGAGACAGATTCCCTTTTGTACCTCTTTTGTCAGTTTATACACCAGCTGGTAGAGAAGAGGTGTACAATCAACTCTGAGAGTATAGTTGCCTGAAAAATAAGTAAAACACAGAGAGTATTATTCCATCCTTCCAAATGAAATTTCAGTTATGCTTCATTCGAACTTTATTTCCTAGTTGTAAGGAAGACCTAGCAGCCTACAGTCATATCACCCGGAATGCACCCAATCTTGTCTAAATAAGACCTAGCAGGCTTTAAACCAAAAACAGTTCCCACAAAATAAAACATGATGGAGATGGTTGTTTGGAGAGAGAAAGACTGCAGTGTGAACCTAGGGCTAAGAAGGGAAACAGAAATGTTGGTGACCATGACAGAAGCTCCCAGAGAGGTCAACCCCTCGCCCTTCGGCAGCCGCTCTCAGGGGAACTCTGGCAAAGGAAGAAGCAAGGCTACGCAGATCATTTTTCATTCTTTGATTCAAATCAGTAGTGTCCATCAAGATGTAGCATCATGCTCTGCCATTCATGTAAAATAACCAAAATGTAATGAAAACCGGTCCAGGGGTATAGCTCAGCGGCACAGAGCCTCCCTGGCAAGCACAAGGTCCTGAGTTCAATTTCCAGTACCAAAAAAAAGGTAATGAAAACCTAGAGACAAACACTGTATGTCAAATTCAAAAGGTAGATTGTTACTATTTGTACACTTCAAATTCACCCAGTAAACACAGGAAATTATTTTTAAGAAAATATTTTAACACAAGAAATATTTCTGGATAAAGTATTCTGTAACCGTTTCCTGTGAAATATTTCAGCCAAAGTTCTTTAGTATCCCTACAGGAAAAACGTTGTTTATGTTAGAGTATTTACCAAGATAGGCAAATGGTGAATATGACAAAAAACTTAGGAGCAATAGTTTAGTTATGAATCATATTGATTGATACGCTTTAATCCTCCTCCTATGTAAAATGGAAAACTAAGTTACTACCGAGGAATCTCATGGGAAAAGAACATGTGAAATACTTAACAAGTTGGAATTCATAGACTTAAAAGGATAGTGTACTGTTTAATAACTACAAATACCAGTTACTTGAGATAAAATTTACTACTGGAACACTTTATTTCAAACTGAAATAAAATTTTACCTTCTATTGATGAATCTGAGTTGATATAAGCAATGCTTCTCTCTTGAAGTACTTTTGCATTCTCCTATGGTTGAAGCAAAGTTGTCACTTAATTCACAGTATGTACTATTGTGAATATATAAACAAAATGACAAAATAATTTTGTGAAAAAGTGATCTCCAGATATCTCACAAATCACATACCTGTGCCTGCCTGTCTGTACCACAGACTCTGAGAAAAGGCTGCTAATTTGTTGGCTCACAATACTAATGCAAGTTTTACAAAAGAATATTATGAAGTAGTAACTACGGCATACAGTAATAGCAGAGAGCCCAAAGAAAAGCAATATTTTCAAAATTTAGCTCCTGATCCACTGCATCAGAAATATGCAGAGATAAGGCTTTCAAGATTCTGGGGTAGACTCCAGATCTGTTGAATCAGGTCTGCTGAAAACAAAGCCTGGAAATTGGGAGCTTTAGCAGATATAAACAATCTTTATGCCCATTGAAGCTTAAGGTCCTCTAAGAGTAGATATCAAAGTAAAGTTATCCATTTTAAGAGTGAAAAATAGAAAATTTCCATTGATCTATGCATATAGAATATAGGGAAAAGTAAAAGAATTTTTAAAAAGGAGAGAAAGACAGAAAAAATAAAAATAAAATGAGGTACATGTTAGAATATAAACAAGATACAAATGAAAAAAACCCAAAGATCTAATAAAGTGCTCACACACTGATGGAAACATGCTGAGAGCCCTTCCCCTCTCAAACTCCAGCTTGTACCTCATGAGAGAATACAATATAGGAAAAGACACTTGAAGCTTGTGTGGCAAAAGCACAAGTAATAACCATCACCTCTTTGCACTTGTCAACACAGGACAGATGCTAGCTACTCTCACTATAAAGAAATGGCGTCAGAGTTGTCATTATAAGCTATTCCCAGTGGAAATAAAGAAGATACCTCACCAGGCATGGTGGTGCACACCTATAATCCCAGCACTCAGGAGGCTGAGGCAGGAGAATCATTACAAGTTCAAGACCAGCCTGGGATACAAAGTGAGCTCAAGGCCAGTGTGAACTGCATAGAAAGACCCTATCTCAAACAAACAAACAAACAAAAAAAAAGAAAAATAAGAAGATGCCTTATGTATGATTATAAATTTAAGTATTTTGTTTAATATGATAATCTGGTACAAAATTTGAAAAAGTGTTTCTTAACCCAGATGTACATAAGTTAGTGCAAAACATGTTGATTATGGCATGCCTTAAATTTTTATCTTTATTTTGAACTTCTGAAATTGGAGAAACAGATACATGTACTTATGTATATACACATCACAAGAAATTTCATATTTGTAAACATAAACAATCTTAATAAGCAACACCTAACTCATCTAAATTAATTTTCTACTTCTGAAAGGCATGTTCATAATATTAATTTTAGAATAGTAGTTTACAGTGCACTCATAATCAACAAACAAATACTATCAGGCAAGTAACTGTGTATGTGACTCTATACACCCATATTTATTTGATTTAATTGATTCTTAATGTTTTGAAATAATATTAAAGAATAAATAAAACAGTATAAGGGGGTGAGTTGGGAAAGTCTTTCTTAAAAAATTAAACACAAGAGCAAAACGTGTTTGATGCTTTACAACAACTCTATAAAGTCTGGACTCACGAATGATAAATAAAAGGTGGAGAAAAAGTACTTACATAATGCACCTACCTTTCTACACATGGATGCGCTTACCCTGCACCGTGAGAACATGGACATTACTCAAGAGAGGCTTAAGGAAGAAGAGGAAAGGAAGGGGGCCAAAGAGAGACACTGAAAGAGTGAAGAGTCAGACAAATGAAATCCAGTCACAGTGGCTGGGGGAGCCTTGCAATTATAAAGTTAATTTACTAAAGTACTTCAACTTACAAAATTAACATTTTATACTCAGAGCGTGTATCTGTTGTGAAAGGTACAATATGTCAGTGGTTGCAACTTTATATGGAATTTGTAAATGTGAAACTATAATCAAAGTATAGTTGTCTGAATAAGACATGTTTTCTTAGAAGACCTCCAAAGAGACTTGAAAATTGGCTCCAAGGATCTGAGTCAGTTTTGAGGTAGGTCAATTCACGTGTAAAAAATAGCTTCCTAATTCTGACAATTTTCTGAGCTTACTGACTTTTATTTTCACAAAAGAAACACAAACATATTTTGACAATGAATAAATCTGCTTGTAGTCTAAGATACTCTGTATTGCAAAACTGATCTGAAAATAAAAACGCTCTATTTCCTAAATTCTCTTCAGTCTTTCTCTAAATTAAAACCATATTAAGTAATGGAATCTACTCATGATTAGCCTAAGGCACACACATACACACACACACACACACACAGTCTTTCTCTAAATTAAAACCATATTAAGTAATGGAATCTACTCATGATTAGCCTAAGGCACACACATACACACACACACACACACACACACACACTCACCCTGAGGCACATACACACATACACAAGCACACACTTGTTCTTTATTGACCGAGAAAATCACAGGAACCTTCCCTGTCTCATTTACCTCAGCCCATTCTGTAGAACCCAACAGTCCAAACTCTTCGGCATCCCAGCTGGCAAAAATGATAGTTCTCCTAGGTCTCCAGCCTGTCATCATTAACATACACAGTTAGACACCTCTGCCTAAAAATAAAGTGAAGTCAAGTCATTTCCTGTCATTACCTACCAAAGGAATGTGACTTACCTCTATTTATCAGTTTTCCAAAACTCTGGGCTATTTCTTGCATAACCGCAGTCCCCGTGGTTGGGTCAATGCCTCCAAACACCCACGAGTCCCGGTGACCTCCCACAATCACATACCTGTCTGGGGAAAAATGTGTTCAAAAGAACTTCAACCCTGAACACATTATAAATATCTGTTATTTATGTCTTCAGATAGACTTCCTCCTGTTTTTCTTTCACAGAAAACAATTGGGACTATAAAGTAAAACTTTTCAAAGCTGTATGACTTTCCCCCAAATTTAGCAGTTTCAAATCAGTCAGAAAAATATCAATTGTTTAATGAAGTTTATTTTTTCTTACTCTTTTTTTTTTTTTTTTTGTCTTTTTGAGACAGGGTCTCGCTATGGAGTTCAGGCTGGCCTTGAGCTCACTTTGTAGCCCAAGCTGGTCTCGAACTTGCAACTGTCCTCCTGCCTCAGCCTCCCAACTGCTGGGATGACAGGTGTGTGCCACCACACCCGGCTCAAATCTTTTCTTATGCTTAATTTTGGAAAAAGAAAATGCTTAAAAAAATTCATTAACTCACCAGGTTCCTCAGATCCTCTAATAATTCCAATTACATTGTAAATTCTTGTAATTTTATTGATGTTATGAACATGCATTTTAACTTTTCTAGAATTTCAAAAGGAATAAATTATTTAATATGAAGTATTACATTTTTAGTTTTCTTCCCACTTTTATTAAGTAAAATCTCAAAACTACCCAAAAATTATACAATCAGATGATGAATTTCTATATATCTGCCACCTACATCCAATAATTGCTAATATTTTGGAGCCATTTTCCAGGGAGCTGCAGACATCATGACAATTTACGGCTAAGTACTTATGTACACCCCTTAAAAACAGACGTATTTTGTTTTCTTTTCCCTGCACAGCTACATTGTTGGTATTTATTTATAATCCCAAACATCACATATTAGGTATTCATTCTAAAACCTTTTGCTGTTGCTGTTGTTGTTATTGTTTTTGAGACAGGGTCTTGCTATGTAGTTCTGGCTGGCCTTACACTCATTTCTGTAGCCCAGGCTGGCCTTGAATTCACAGTGATCCTCCTGCCTCAGCCTCCCAAGTGCTGCGATCACAGGTGTGTGACACCACGCCTAGCTAGAAACTTTAAATACACACCTCTTAATTGCAAAAACAAGGAAGATAGTCCATTATGCAATACATGAAAAAGCATAAATTTGTTACTTGAATATTTGTCTTTACAAAGCAATGCACAGTACTGCTTAATGATGTTTTATAGGCAACAGACTACATATAAGATGGGGTCCCATAAGATTATAATGCAGCCTAAAAATTCTATTGTATCACGACATTGGAGCGCTTGCAGTGTCATAGCATAATGCATTACTCATAAATCTGTGGTGATGCTGGTGTAAACAAACACACTTCACTGCCAGTCATATAAAAGTGTATTACATGGAAATATGTATGGTACATAATATTGTGATTTTTACCATTCACTTAGGGTATACCTGTACTTAATAAAAAGAGTTTACTACAGAATGATATACAATAGTAAACTGGCAGTCGCCCATAATCTCGTATTTACTATATTACTGATTATGTCAGGAGACCATACTGAGCGTGTGAGGCCCTGGGCTCAGTGTGCACTACTGTGGAGAAGGAGAAAGGGAAGAGGCCCCAGCAAGTGACTGGTGATTGGTGTGAAACACCCTCCAGGTTTGCATGTGTGCACTCGACAGTGAAAATATCCCTATGCTAAGTAATGGCTGACTGTGATTAATAGGGAAAGTTTTTTCATTTCAAGGCATTAAGTAAAAAATTTATTTTTGCTCCTGATGGATAAAAATAATAGCATTGAGGGTATATCTCAGTGGTACATCATGTGCTTAGCAAGGCAAGACTCAGGGTTCAACTCCAAGAAAAACATATTAATAATAGAAATGCAGAAACATTGTATAGCATGTTCCTAAAAATATGAGCCTAAGATCTATGATTACTAAGCTAAACAAATTTGTTGACACTCTGTCATTAAATTAACTAGAAAATTAACTAAAGAATAATGCAGGAGTTTCAGGAGTGGTGCTGCACGCCTGTCATCCCAGCACTCAGGAGGCTGAGGCAGGAGGATCACTGCAGGTTCGAGGCCAGCCTGGGCTACAGAGTGAGTTCAAGGCCAGCCTGAACTACATAGCAAGACTTTCTCTCAAAAAAAAGAATAATGTAAGAGATGATTAATGAGAGGAAAAACATCTGTAAAGACTGAACATGAAAATAAACATAGGCTAACTGTGCAGATTCTCAAAAAACATCCAAATTTTTAATTTTGATGTCTTTCAAGTTTTTAATATATATGACCTCAGAAATTGTCTCAAAAAGTATCTGTTTATCTCATTACCACTTCAAACTCAAAGTTTCAAATAAACTGAAATCTAGAATACATACTCCATAGCACAGGAAATTTTTTTCCCTAAATTTTTTCACTGCTAAACCTAGAACCTAGAATGGTGCCTTGGGTATAGTAAAGAGTAAGTAATAAATATTTGTGGCATGAATAAATACACTCCTGTAAGAAAAAATTGGGAAACACCCTGCCTTGTTCAGGATACTTCTATTTTTCATTGTCTTTGACCAGACTGTTTTACAAGTCTGTACAGACAGACGTTAACTTGTAAAATGATAGTAACAGTAATTTATGTAATAAAATGGAAGCTGGTAAAGATTTATGCAATATCCTTCCCCCACGATGGAAGGAGCCAGTTGTTCTGACATTATACACATCTACTCTGATGTTCCTGATGAGGTGACCTTTTTTAGTATCATCTTTGAATCTTCCTTTGAACGAGTTTTAATACCCTCCTTGACCTTATAGCCAGGAACTGTACTAATAAGTAATAATCAGTTAGTTAATAAGGTAAATAAAATCTGCAACACATGTTCATCTTGTATGACACTGTATGATAATCTATTTTAAATTGTCTTTACCATTTTTGGAGGGCCCTCTGGGATGTCCGATACATTTATCTTGTAGAACCCGAATGTTTCCCCATTCACTACATTGGCCTTCGGCTGCTGAGCGAAACCCCAGCTCTACCGCCACTCTCTGTGTTGAGCATCGTGTTTCCTCTACTGATTCTGCGTTTTATTGATGTTTCTACTTTGCTCAGAGCAAGAGTAAGTCTTTCTTCATTGATGGCAACAATGACACGGAATTTAACTTCTGTTGAACAATTTGGTAATCTCTCCAAAAATATTAATAGACTATTAAGACCACCATGGGGTGACAGAGAAGACAGGGTCCTGCTGTTGGTTCTCTACTTTTTCCCTCTGTTTAATTGCTTGCCCTGCTTGGTGGTTTCTTTCTGTTGCTGTTCTCAAGAGAATATGGTCATTAACTCACTAACTTCCAGGAGGGGGCATTTGGGGAGCCTTCCCACTGACAGGTCCCTGGAGCTTATGGACTCTTTCCCAGAAAGGAGCCTTTCTCAGCTTTACATAAACAGCATTTTCTTCCTTTTTTCTTAAAAAAGGCATGCTCTTGTTTTTCATGTTTATTGTTGCTGTTTATTATGTATCTGTCCATTTTGAAGTCAAATCAATCAAGAACTTCATTCCCACACTGAAGGAGAGTAGCTTCTGAGTTTACTCCTGAACAGTGACTGAAATTATAGAACTGACCTACGTTCTCTCTGTATCTATGTGCTTCTGACTGTAAATCGCAAAGGCCTTTCCATTTCATGTAATGAGTATGTTATATTTTCATTCCTCTTTAGAGTATAAATAACAATCTCTTTAAAGGTACTGCTTTGATTAAATTATAGATATAAACACCTATGAAAATATTTATAAAATTCCTATAAAACAAGGAAATTGAATTTCTAATACTTCAAATATTCTAGACTGAGAAAAATTTCAGGAACTAAAAAGCACTCTAAGAATGAAAGCTCACAGAATTAAACTGTTAGGAAACAAGACTGATTTAATACCTTTGTTTTAATAAAAGCAGCTATGTCTTTGCAGATTTCTCAGTGGCACATTTCCCACCCTGCCAACATGTTAGGCAAATGAAACTTCTTAAAGTTCTGATCACGTCACGATTCCCCACAGCACTAGATGCTGACCCTGCCTTCCTTCACCCAGGGGACAGCTTTCATACTTTCTGTGAAACTAACCTCAACAGACATACTTTCTATTATCGTCCCTCTTCTACAACAGTGCTTTAATGTGTTAAAAGGACAGTAACTGTAATGATAAGTCTATTGAGCCTTGTAGGTATATGATTATTCACTTTGACCCAGCTTCTTTCTCTTCTCTTTAACCCTCTCCTTTAGTTTAAACTAGTGTCTCACATGTAAGACACTGCAAACTATTGGGCAAACTATTATATACTGTAGGTGAAAAGCGAGGTTTAAAAAAGTCATTGTTTGAATTACTGAGCCTAAAAATCAAATAAAATTTCTGACACTCTGAAACAAGTATTGTGATATCACTACAATAACAATTCAATAACTCATTCTGTAAGTACTTAAGTAATATAAAACATCGTTCACAAGTAGTAGTAAAAAAAAATAAGCAAAATATATCTAGTGGAATAGTTATCTTGACATTTTTCTGTTGCATTATAGGACGTTTTCAGGCAATTACAGTAAAGCAAAAATTACCTGAAAGAATTACTCCCTGTGAAGCCGGGCCCAACACTATAAGAAACGTTAAGCATTCCCTTCCAGTGCTCGTCCGGGGGAGCAAGCCCGCCCAAGTGGCTGGTGAGAGAAAATGGAAGGACAGAAAGAGGCTGAGCATCGCAGTTCCCAGATGAAAATTATAAAGTTGATGATAATATCTCACTCTAATCTAAGAATTATTTGTTGGACAAATTTTCAACAAACCTTTCCCTTGCTGGGCATGGTGGTGCATGTGTATAATTCTAGCACTTGGGTGGCTGAGGCAGGAGGATTGCTGTGCATTCGAGGCCAGCCTGGGCTACACAGTGAGTTCAAGGCCAGCCTTAATTACATAGCAAGACCCTGTCTCAAAAAAGAAAACCAATTTTCCCTTCTGGAACATACATCTAGTAAGTGAACCATGACTGAGACAAATAAGAAACATATGTAATACAGTACTGCATATCAGTGGTAAGAGCTAAGGAGAAAAATAAAATAAAATAACAGGACTGATGAGAAGCACTACTCGTAACCTTGGTTATTTATGTAGGGAAGCAGTGAGTCGGAGAAATGCAAATACAGGAAACTCATGATGAGTTTAAGAAGAAATTAATTTATAAAGAAGTCAATTACATGTAGCCACCTACAAAGAAATTATTAAGTTGCTCTGGTACAGACACTTACAAGAATGGAAGTGTAAAGGAAATATATAAAGAAATACAGAAAATAATATATATGTAATATATATAGCATATAATATATATATACACAATATATACTATGTATGTGTAATTTATATATACAGCAAGCATTATTTGAGTGTTTATCAGATTCTGGATGCTGTACTACCATGATGTGGTAATGACCCTATCCGAGACACACTGCTGTCCTCATTTTACAGATAAGGACATTGAATGATCATGTAAAGTAGTCCCAGATCACATTTTTAAACTATAGCTCAGGTATGAATATCTAAAGAAATCCAATTCCTTGGATAAAATCTCAAATCAGTACTGACTTTTATCTTTGTATGCAGTATTGCATTTCAGAATTTCATTTGTAGCGAACATAGTACTGTATTATTATTACTTCCTAGTCACTAAACTAACTGTTCTCTTTGGATTAAAAAATGAGTGTGCTCTATTATTCCTATATAAAATCCTTTTAATATAAGACTTTAACATAATTGGACTATACTTATTTTAGATCAGAAAATGGACATCTTAGAGTAAAATTTTTATTCCATATCCAACTAAAAATTTATACCGTAATAATATCTCTGCATCATTATATCCAATAGGATGCACAGGAATTTGAGGGATTCCCACTCCTTCTTCAACATTAAATCTGAAGGTGTACTCTGCAAAAATCATGGGGAAAAGAAAATAACTAAAAATCTGAACAAGAATCCGAAATTTCCTATATTACTATTAGAAATTTTCAACACATTTGCAAATACATCAAAATTAAAAGTCCCGAAAAAGTAAAACAACTGTTTTACCTAAGGATTCAAAATATGTTTAAAAGGTGGGCGTGATGGCACACCCCTGTAATCCCAGTACTCTAGAGGCTGAGCCAGGATCACTGCAGGTTCGAGGCCAGCCAGGGTTACACAGTGAGCTCACAGCTAGCCTGAACTACATAGTGAGACCCTGTCTCAAAAAAATCCCTAAATACATAAATAACCCATTGGTATTTTCAAAAATAGAAATATCTGACCTAAAGAAGGATAATTCCTAAGTGTGCTCACAAAATCTAAATCCAGTTAAGAACAATTCTTACTTTGGGCATGAAAATCAGTTTTCTAATCTCTCTCCTAGAGGTAAAAGATTATCAGCTGAGTGTCCCTTTCTCATGCTAACATATCACGAAAATTTAAAAATAAAATAACAATTGATTCCTAGCAATAGTATCCAAAATTATACAAATACACACAATTTTAATTTTACTGTAGAGATGTTTGCTTTTATCCTACTTAAAAGAGCATGAAGTAATTCCGCAAAAACAGTAGACTGACAGGCTCATCACTCACCTTTGGCTGGATAGCCTGGAGTGAGCGGGTCGCCAGCTCCATTCAGATTTAACACATTTCCTCTCTGGGCTGCAGTTCCAGGAAGGTTCCACCCTCTGGGGTATGGCTGTACCTCAGGGGCAAAGTAGTCAGCTGGATCCGAGTACAGAATGATTCCTATGGCCCCAGCCAGCACAGCATTTTTGACCTGCAAGAGCAATATGGACCTATAAAACAGACACGGCAAAAGACTGGCTTATTCATGTAAAAAAAATTTAATAATGTGAGGAAAGCCAGGTGTAATGGTGCATTCCTGTAATCCCAGCACCTGGGAGGCTGAGAGAAGAGGAGTGCCTTAAGTACAAGGCCAGCCTGTACTTACAGCCAGGCCTTGTCTTGGAAGGAGAGAAGGGAGGGAGGGAAGAAGGAAGGGCGGGACAGAGGGAAAAAATTTAGACATTTGCTTATATCATGCCATTACATGTTCTGCTGTCTTTGCTTTGAAGAGTTTCCCCTTGGTAGACCTAACAAACATTCATTTTACAAAACTCTAAACAAGTTATGTTTTCTGTGAAACCGTTCTATTTTCTCCTTTCTTTTTTGTACTTCTTATTTTTATGCATTTTTACTATAGAACAGATCAAAGTATATTCAAATATCTTTTAAGTGTCTTCTCTAAATATTGAGGGAGTTATTAAGAACACAGACCATGCCTTCCTCCTGTTTAATGACCAGCCCTTCAAAATTTCACACATCATAAACTAAGCAGTTTGCAAATATCTGTGTAAGTAAACTTATTTAAAATTTTAGGTGGGCATGGTAGCACATACCTGTAATCCCAGCACTCAGAAGGCTGAGGCAGGAGGATTGTTGAGAGTTCAAGACCAGCCTGGGCTACAAGGTGAGCTCAAGCCCAGCTTGAACTGCATAGAGAGACCCTGCCTCAAAAAGACAAAAAAACAAAAAACAAAGAGAATAGGAAAATATGGCCTATAAAAACTGAATTCTGGGTTCCATGGTTCATGTGAGGGCCTGGTGCATAAAAGCAGGCAATCCATGATTACCGCCAGTGCAGCCAGTGGCCCACAATCTGCTGACACCACAGTATGCAGCTGAATGCCTAGAGAACCAGGTAGCCGCCATCTACATCCTGGAAACACAGCAGGCAACCCAGAACACTACTGCCATTGCAGTCTGTGTCTCCACCCTCTGTGCGCCTGGGGCAGATGGAGATTCTGTCTCAAGGTACCCACAAACTCACTAACACTGGGGTTTGCAGGGGGCCGCCCCATGCATGCCCTGCAACACCATGAGAAGCTTTAGAGCAGGTGATCCACAAACTGCTGAAACCATGATTTGAGACTGGGCTGGGTGAGGAGAAACAGGCAGTCTCTGATCACTGCCAGCGCAGCCCATGTCTGGCTCCTGTGCACACCGCAAGCAACTGGCAGACACAGAACCAGGTGGTCCAAGAATTGCAGACTCTGCTGTCCATGTTGGGCTCTACCTTTGCCCTGAAATCCCTGGAGTCACATGACCAAGTGGTCGGTGATTACGCCACCAGTGAAGACCACTTCTGGTTCATACTCGTGCCCTGAGCTGTCAGGGGACACTGGATCAGATTGTCTGTGACCTGACGACATCATGATCGGCATCTCAGATCCGGGAGAACTAGGTAAACTTCATCATCTGCTGGAAGAACCCAGACTAAACAGCACGCCCCAGCAGCCACTAAGGGGTAGTTTGACCACCAGGAAAACTAGGGATACTAAGGACCTTTGCTGAGCTGACAGAAAGGAAAGAGACTGAGTGCTCTACTACCGGCATCAGACATGACAAGATGAAGGACTAAAATGCAATGTCAGAACTCTACCCCTCTCAGAAAAAGTCCAGGAGACATCGACATAGGAGAACTTAGTAAACACACTCCTGAAATTGCTGAAATGATTGCAATGGAAGTAAAGAAACAACTCCATCAGGTCATAGAAAAGATCAGATCAGAAATAATCTCTCAGGCAAAAAGGAAATGACAACAATAATGAAAGAACTACTCAGCACATCTAAAGAAGACATATATAAAAAAAAAACAGATGAGCATAGGAAACTGATGAAAATGTTAAATGAACAATATAGGAAGGAAACAAAATGCATGAAACAGATTCAAAGGGATATCCAGGAAATCAAAACTTCCATTGAAAGCTGGCAAAACTGCTTGAATGAAGCCAAAGATAGAATTTCAGATCTTGAAGATAGCATGGAAGCTAACGATCGTGAAAGAAAGGATCTTTTAAAATCAACAAGGAATCAGGAAAAATCAATTCAATAGCTGCAAAACAAAGCAAAGAGAAATAATGTAAGATGAATAGGACTCAGTGAAACAGCAGGAGATAACACAAATGACATAAAAAGAATATTTGCAGCTATAATAGCAGAAAATTTCCCAAGTATGGAAAAAGCATCTGATGTACAGTAAGTGAAGCATATAGAACTCCAAATAGCCATAATCAAAATAAAACTACACCTAGACATGTAATAATCAAGATCACAGATATCCAGCAAAAGAACAGAATATTAAAAGCTGCTAGAGAAAAGAAACAGATCACCTATAAAGGAAAGCCCATCAGAATCAAGGCAGACTTCTCAACACAAACCATCCAAGTGAAAAGAGCTTGGAGTGAAGTATTACAGGTCCTGAGACAGAATAGCTTCCAACTAAGACTGATGTACCCTGCAAAACTATCCTTCAAATTCAATGGAGAAACAAAATATTTCCATGACAAAGAACAACTGAAGAACTTCACAAATGCCAAACTAAAGTTACAAAGAGTACTAAAACATCTTCTAGACAGAGAAAAAAATGACCACAATTTCAACAACAACAGAAAGGAACCCTCAAGCAGAGCAAGCAATTAAACAGGTAGAAAAAGTAGGAAACCAACAGCAAGTAAATAACATGACAAAGATAAACCAACACATATCAGTTATAACCATTAATGTAAATCACCTCAATTCACCAGTCAAAAGAAACAGACTGCCAGAGTGGATTAAGAAACAAAATGTCACAACATGCTGTATACAGGAAACACATTTTACTCAAAAGGAAATCCATCAACTGAAAGTCAAAGGATGGAAAACAACTCTCCATGGAACAGGATACCAGAAAAAAGCAGGAGCTATTCTGTTTTCGCAGACAATATAAACATCAAACCGACAACAATCAAAAGAGATAAAGAAGGTCACTACATACTTGTTAAGGGAAAAGGAAGAGGAAGAGATAACAAAAAAAAAGAGGAAGAGATAACACGCATAAACATGCATGCACCAAATATCATAGCACCAAACTATATAAGACAAATCTCAACAGACATGAAAACCCATATAATTAATAACACTATTGTAACAGGGAACCTAAATACCTCCTTGACACAAAGAGATAGGTCAATTAGACAAAAAAATCATGAAGAAATAACAGACTTGAAACAAACATGCAAACAAATGGACTTAGTAGATGTCTACAGAATGTTCCACCCCACAACATCAGAATATGCATTTTTCTCAGCTGCACATGGGACTTTCTCTAAAATAGACCACATTCTAGCCCACAGAACATACCTAACTAAATGCAAAAGAATTGAAATTATCCTATGCATATTATCTGACTACAGTGCACTAAAATTGGAAATTAATGACAAAAAGAGCTCCAAAAAACTCCATAAACACTTCGAAATTAAATAACAACCTCCTGAACAACCAATGGGTCACAGAAGAAATTAAAGAAGAAATTTAAAAATACCTACAAACAAATGAAAATGTAAATACAACCCACCAGAATCTGTGGGATGCAATGAAAGCAGTCCTCAGAGGGAAATTTATAGTGGTGAACTCACACAGAATGAAAACAGAAAGAGAACAAATAAATAGCCTAATGCTGCTTCTCAAACTTGTAGAAAAAGAAGAACAAGTCAGGCCCAAAGCCCAAAGAAGGGAGGAGATTACAAAGATTAGGGCAGAAATTAATGCAATTGAGACAAAGAAAACCCTCCAAAAAATAAATGATTCGAAGAGTTGGTTCTTTGAAATAATAAATAAAGTTGATAAACCCCTAGCCAACATTATCAAAAAAAGAACTCAAATTCCTGCATTAAGGAATGAAATGCATGAAATTACTACAGACCCTACAGAAATTCAGAAGGTTATTAGTACCTACTTTGAAAATCTTTACTCCCAAAGGATAGAAAACTCAGAAGAAATGGACAGATTCCTAGATATGTGTGAATTACCAAGATTGAATCAAGAAGATATATAAATCCTGAACAACCCAATAACCATGAATGAGATTGAAAATGTGATTAAAAAGTTACTGACAAAGAAAAGCCCAGGCCCTCATGGATTCACAGCAGAATTCCACAGAAAATTCAGAGAAGATTTAATACCAACACTCCTCAAACTCTTCAATGAAATTGAAAAGGAAGCAATTCTCCCTAACTCATTTCTCGAGGCAAGTATTATACTGACACCAAACCTGAGAAAGACCCAACCAAGAGAGAGAACTACAGACCAATCTCCCTAAAGAACATAGATGCAAAAATACTCAATAAAATAATAGAAATACTAGAATGCAGCAAATCATCAAGAAAATACACCATGACCAAGTTGGATTCATTCCAGGAATGCAGGGATGGTTCAATATCCACAAATCAATAAATGTTACACAGCATAACAATAGAGCTAAAGACAAAAACCACATGATTATCTCAATAGATGCATAAAAAGCTTTTGACAAGGTCCAACATGCATTTATGATAAAAACTCTACAGAAAATAGGAATAGATGGTCTTTACCTCAATCTGATCAAAGCCATCTATGACAAACAAACAACCAATATAATACTAAGTGGTCAAAAACTAAAAGCTTTTACTTTAAAGTCACGAACAAGACAAGGATGTCCACTGTCCCCACTCCTATTCAACATAGTTCTGGAGACACTAGCCAGAGCAATTAGACAAGAGAGAGAAATAAAAGGAAGATAGGAAAGGAAGAAGTGAAATTATCATTATTTGCAGATGACATGATACTTTACATGGAAGACCCCAAAAAATCCACAAGAAGACACCCTGAATTAAGCAACAAATTCAGTAGTGTAGCTGAATAGAAAGTCAACACTCAAAAATCAATAGCATTCCTATACACAAACAACAAATAGACTAAGAGAGAAATTAAGGAAATCATACTTTTCACAATAGCATCCAAGAAATTGAAATATTTAGGAATCAATCTAACAAAAGAAGTAAGAGGCCTATTCAGTGAAAATTACAGTACTCCGAGAAAACAGATTGAAGAAGATTTCAGTTAATGGAAAAATATTCCTTGCTCATGGGGAAGAACCAACATTGTGAAAATAGCCATACTACCAAAACTGTTGTACAGATTCAGTGCAATTCCCATTAAAATACCATTACCCTCCCTACAGATCTAGTCCCTAAAATTCATCTGGAACCAGAAAAGATCTAGAATAGCAAAAGCAATCCTGGGCAACAAAAACAAGTCATGTGGAATCACAATCCCCGACCTGAAAATATACTACAAAGCTACTATAATAAAATCAACATGGTACTGGTTAAAAAACAAATCTGAGGATCAACGGAACAGACTGGAAGATAAAGCCACAACCAAAAACACACTCAGCCACCTAATCTTTGATAAAGGGGCCAAACAAGCTCACTGGAAGAAAGACAGCCTCTTTAATAAATGGTGCCAAAAATTGGCTTGCCACTTGCCAAGGACTGAAAATAGACCCAAGGCTATTACCATGCATCAAACTCAAGTCAAGATGGATCACAGATCTCAATATTAAAACAGAAATACTAAATCTACTGGAAGAGAAAGTAGGTAAAAATCTTGAAGACATAGGGGTAGGCAGAGAGTTCATGAACAAACACCAAACTGCCCATGAAATACTTCAAAGAATCAACAACTATGATCTTATCCTACTGAAAAGTTTCTGCACATCTAAAGAAATCACCAGCAGAGTAAAAAGAAAACCCACAAGCTTGGAAAAAATTTTAGCTGATTGTCCCTCAGACAAAGGGCTTCTATCTAGAACATATAAAGAATTAAAAAATAGCAGCCCCTCCAAATTCAAAGACCCAATCCAAAAATGGGCAGCTGAGATGAATACACACTTCGCAGATAAGGAAATACAAATGGCAAATAAATATATGAGAAAATGTTCAACATCATTAGTCATTCGAGAAATGCAAATTAAAACAACACTGAGATTCCACCTTACCCCAGTAAGAACGGCTAGCATTAAGAAATCAACGAATAACAAATGCTGGCGAGGCTGTGGAGAAATAGGAACCCTTCTCCACTGCTGGTGGGAATGTAGACTGGTGAAACCACTGTGGAAATCAGTTTGGAGATTCCTCAGAAAACTAGGTCTAGAGGTCCCATTCAACTCAGCTATCCCCCTGCTGGGTATTTTTTCAGAAGATCTCAAAACATCATATCACAGTGATATATGTGCACCTATGTTCATAGCAGCACAATTTGTAATTGCTAAATTGTGGAAGCAACCCAAATGTCCATCCACTGAGGGTTGGATAAGAAAATTGTGGTACTTTTATATAATGGAATATTACACAGCTATAAAGAAAGATAAACTCGAGGCTTTTATAGGTAAATGGTCACAACTAGTGCTCATACTCATAAGTGAAATAAATCAGACCTGCATGTGTAAGCAACATACTGTCTCACCAGTGTAAGAACTTGAAAATGTAAATAAAAATTAGGAGGTATGATAGACATTGTGAAATGAAAGGATACTCCTCAAAAGTAAAGAGCAACTGGGATGAGGGAAAAGAGAAGCAAAAGAAGGGGAATACTATGTCTATATGTATATACACGATAGTTAACATAGTTGTACTACTGACTTATATCACTGTATTGAAAGGAACAGTTAATGGGAGCTGGGAATTTAGCTCAGCGGCAAAGTGCCTGCCTGGCAAGCACAAGGTCGTGAGTTCGGTTCCCGGTACCGGAGAAAAACCAAAAAAAAAAAAAAAAAAAAAAAGAAAGGAACAGTTAATGATTAATTATTTTAATTATTTGATCAATCTTTCACATCTATATTTGCCTCTGGAGTAACCACTTTGAAGTTATCAATACATAATACAGCACCCAGTGTTAATTTCCTGTCGCCTTGTCTGTAATTCAGTATTGCTTGTATTGTTGTTGTGCTATTTTGTGAATGGTTGTCTGTTTGTTAAAAAGAAAAACTCAATTCTTCATTATCAGAAGCACTGTAGCAAAGGATAAGTGAACATCAGTCTTGACTCAGTAAGAAGTATTCCCGTAGTCAGAAAGCACGTGGATGTAGCAGTGGAGGTATATCTTGCAACTGCTTGGAGGGTTAACTTGACTGTCTTTACAAAAATTTTGAAAGAACATATACTATGATTCAGCCACCCCATTTCTGAAAATCTATATTCCAAAAATCTTCACACAAATGCATGAAGTATATATGGAAAAGAATGTTCACTGTGGAAATAGTAGTAACAAATTCAAGACAAGAGAAACATCCATCAATGGGGATGGTTAAATAAATGGCTTATCCGTTCTATAAAATATTTTGTCACCATTTAAATTAATTATTTAACAAACAGCTGTGTAGAAATTACTGACAGCAGCTACTGCCATTCATGCTTTCAAACATAGTCATATAATCCTAATCATGAGTCTGTGAGACTGGTGCTATTATTAAGCATTATTGAGCTATTATTAAGTATTCTCATTTTACATATGGAACAAGTACAGCACAAAGTATAGCTCACAGTATAAGCTCTAGAGCACAGAAGCCCCGAACAGACTCAGTGGTGTGGATCTACAGTCTTAAACTCTTAAATACTCCACGATGTTATACCGCCCTCAACGTGCTGACGGAGACTATCCATAAGCTATGGCCAACCATAGACTCACTTGATGTGCAGCATACAATGATCTCTCTTTTAGAACAAGAATCATTACACTTCCATGTATAATGTGGATACATACAGATATATTGCTATTATACAGAATTAGGTCTGAAGAAAGATATTAAGATTGATTACATCTAGGCAAGAATATCAGGTAATGCTGAGGGAGATTTTCATTTTTAGTTTATAGAAATTTCTTTCAATTAAATTTTAAAAGCAAATATTTTTATAATAAAAATAATTGCCTTTTAGATATATAAATGAACATGAAAAGTTTTTGTGTGCAGCCATGGCAAACAGCAAAGTAAATAACTTTTAAAGCAATTTTGGGAACTATTGAAGTGAGCTGGTCATTTATATTTTTAGGATCTCTCCTCTCTCCTTCCCTCTAGAAAAACAATACCGTACTTTATTTCCTCTGAAGATCTTCCCGTATCTGGCAATAACAATCTTTCCCGTGCAGTTGATGTTCATCTCCCTTTCTAGTTTGAAAAAGTCTTCAGTACGAGCATAATTCACATATATCAGATCTCCCTACAGGGAAAAGAAAATATATATAAGTAGATATAGACAACAAAAGGTACATTTGTTCCACAAAACTGCAGCAGTGAAAGTTTTCTTTCCCTATTTAGACTTAATAAACAGACCTATGAAATTCTGGCAAGTCTTCAGAAAATCTTTCAAAATTTTGAAGTTAGAAAAAGACAATGTAAAGGCTATTGTCTTAGTTACTTTTCTCTCATTGCTGAGACAAAATACCTGACTCCAACAATTAAGGAAGGAAAGGTTTACTTAGCTCACAGTTTGTGGAAGTTTCAGTCTATAATCAGCGGGCTCCAAGGCAGAGGAGCACATGGCAGAGGGCAACAGTTCATGGCAGCAGAAGATAGCCAAAGCAGCAAGAGCAAAAGGGAGGGGCAGCAGCAAGGAGCCTCTTTCCCTCTCTTACATTTCATGCAAACTATAGCACTCACATCCATAATTCCAACACTGAACCATGGATCAATCATAAACTCTAGAAGCCCGCCCCATGACTGCATGAGGCTTTGTGGGGACATCCAAACACAGACTGTAACATCTGTATTTTGGACAATATGTTCTCTTTTGAAGAAGTTATCAGTATATTGAGCCACAGCAATTAGAGTAGTATCATTTGGAAAATCCTTATTACATTTAATTTCCAACCAGCCATTAAGAACTTATGTGGTATGACCTATAAAAACAGATCAATACATCTATAAAACACTGAGATTAGTGGAAAAAAGTTTATAAAAGTAAAGCCAGGTGTGGTGGCACATGCCTGTAATCCAAGCACTCAGAAAGCTGAGGCAGGAGGTTTGTTGTGAGTTCAAGGCCAGCCTGAACTGCACAGCAAGACCCTGTCTCAAAATGACAAAAAATAAAAATAAAAATAAAAAAAATAAAAATAAAAGTGACTATTGCATTTGATGAATTAGAAGATTGCTCGGATGTATGTTTATTTCTAAGAATGACATCAACTTCATTAGGATCTGTTTTTTATGTGTTTGTTTTCTTCTTTTCCTTTTCCGGTGGCCTTTTCTGCTTTCTAAAACATTACTTTGATTTTTATTGAGTGTTCATGGTATACAGCATCAAGCAACCAATGATAATGTATGATTTCCATGTAAAATTCCCTTGTTTTTATTCAGATACACAGGTTTTTACACAGCAAGGAAACACTTAGATTTGAATAAAGAAATATTGTTCATCCTACCTCTGGCGTGCCCGCGGGGGAGAAAGCGTTGTACGGCGGCACGATATTGCTCACATTCTCATACCCTTCTGGTGGTGGCTCAAGGTACGATGTTTTGAAAATCTAGCAAGAATGAAAATGTAAGTTGGAGAGAATAATTCTAAAGTGTTGTTAAGGTAGAATGCATTTTGTCCCCAAGCACACACTGAAGATTAAATGCACTGAAACTGGTTTCTCTAAGTAAATAGCTAAATTCTGCTGACAACAATGAGAAAGAGCTGTATTATTAAAAATAACAGAAATAACAGGAAATCTTACAGATGCATGCAATCCACATAACTGAATGTTCTCTTATAAGGTGTAAAACAGGGCTGAAAAGGCACTCAGGCTGGACGTGAGCTCAGTGAAGTCCCCGCATTCAGTCCCAGCACCACACACACACACACAAGCACGCACGCGCGCGCACACACACACACACACATGCTTATGTTTCTCCTTTTCTTCTTCCTTTGTGAGCCGCTTTTCTCTGGCCTTCATTTAAAGTTTCCTCATTTTTATTCCTGGACCGCTGCTTGTCTCATTCTGAATTCCTGCCCTGTAACATTACACTGAGTATGACAATTTTGCCAACAGGAGATGTACTTATGGTGTCCAGTTTTTCGTGCACATATATTTAATAGCCTGGTAGGTATTTAGCTCTGACTTCCAAATGCAACATGTTAAAATTTATCTTTTACCACCCCTAGCCTGCTTCTGCCTCTACATCTTCTATCTCCATTCATAGCCTAAGTGAGGTACCCACAGCAAGCCTCTGAGCAGTCTCTGAAGCTGTTTTTCCCTTCTTTGCTCCAGTCAGTCCCTAATCAAGCCCTGCTGGTGCACTTCCTGTTTCCCTGATTCATCTCTTTGCCTTACTCCTGCTAGCATCCTGGTCCAGGACTTCATCACCTTTGATGTAACTACTAAGATTGCTGACTGCAACTCGCTGCCTAGTGGAGAAAGAATCCGCAGGTTGTGAATCTACCTAGGGTGCCTGTCTAGCTCATTCTTCCCCTGCCTAGGATTTGTCATTTGGACCAGGAACTAAAGCTGAAGTATGAGCTCCTTAGGGTAAACCCTTTTCTGATCTGTCTCCACAACTCTCTACTGGTTTGTTTCTTACCATAGCCCAGTCTGTATTTAACACTCTCTTTTTTTTTTTAAGTACCGGGAATCAAACTTAGGACCTTGCACTTGCCACGCAGACACTTGTGCCACTGAGCTATACCTCTGGCCCTAACACTCTTGAAAAACAGGAAATTTTGAAATTATATCAATAATGCTACGCTATTATATGTTTCCAAGCTTTTGCCAGTATTTTCTTTACTTTGTTTTTTTGTGTGGTTAACCCCTGTGCTTTTTCATGACCCATGTATCAAGTCTTTCAAGGGGATTTCTTTCTCTAACTCCCAGGTGGGGCTGAATGACCCATTTCTGTGTGGTTAGAAAGTCCTACTCATATTCATCAGAGAACTCACCAGTCTGATTTGAAATAATGTACTCCATTTTTCACCTCACCTTACGTACACAAAGGCATCATGTCCACATCTTCATTCTGGCCTAAGGACCTCCCACTATGCCTAATACAGTAGACACCGAATAGGTTGCAATTTATTAACTTTTATAAAATATGTGAATTCTATTGCATATCTGCATATCCCAGCATGGCTTTATAAAATATAAAAGTACCAACAAGCTGTATCACCTCAGTTCCATGTTCATCCACAATTGATATGTAGTTAGTATTTGTTTCATTAGGGTAAGACAAGAGAACATCATAATGAACCAAGTCAGCTGAATCTAATCCAAATTTTTTCCACTGAGTTTGGATTTTTTTGGCAAGTAGTAAATTTTGTTCTGTTCCTGCCAAATGAGGAAGTTTCGTAAAAGAACTGAAACAAGACAAAAAACAAGAATAAGTAGAAGTTAAAGAGTACCTCCACATGATGCATGTAAAACTAATGTAGATGTATCACTCATTTTTTAGGCACTAAGTTGTCAGTTCTACATGAGATATATTAAAGTTGCCAGAGATACCAATTCCTAGATATGCCAAGTTTTAAATGATTTATGCATAACTGTAGTTTTCATATAATGCTCCCTTACAAAAAAATACCACAGCACACAGAATTAGCAAAGGGCTTGATATGAGAATGTCATATTTCTATATTAATCATGCAACTTTGTGCTAGTCATCAGTAAATAGAGGGCATTTTAAGAAGAAAAAAGACCCTAATGTATGTCAGGAACATTTAGGCATTTCTATCTTTGACTTCACTACTATCGATAGTATCATGTGGTAGCTGCTTATCTGCCTCCCTGAAGTCAATGCCTATGCATTCTTATTTCTATATTCACTAGTGTGCTTCAATCTTTCCTGTTACCCCAGAAGTACTGACTTGCTGAACAAGTCAGTTTGGACAGTGCTCTCTTGGCTCTGGGTGTGTATTAGTCAATTTTCATTGCTGGGACAATTGCCTGACCTACACGACTTAGTAGAAAAGACTTCTCTTGTCCCATTGACAGGGCAAGACAGACTCCATTTCCTGTCTTTAACTCCATATTAAGAGAAGTCACTTAATGTTCACTTAAGCCGTGCTTGACCCCAACTCACCCTGGTTAGTTATCAACTCACTTAGAGCAGTCATAAAGTGGGAACAGAACCAACAGAACAAACTGGGCAGTGGGCTAAAAGTTAAACTGCGATGGCCATTTGGAATTTGGCGGTCTGACCTGCTGGAAAAAGTAAACTTTGTGATCATTGTGTGACATTCTTGTAAGATTCCCCAAAATGAGGTAGTGGTTACTATGGAAATATAAAATGTACCTAAACCGAAGGTGAGACCCAGATAGATTGGGGTCGACATCTCCTCTGGCTCCTGGTTAGAGACTATCCGTCAGCCAGCTTAATAAAGCTTTGTTTGTTCCTGCCTTTTCAGTTTTCTTGTGAGTGCCCTTCTTGTTGAACTCACTTGCCATATCACCGTGGTTTCCGAGGTTCCAGTTCATAGTCAAGCCTATTCTCTGAATGTTTGCTTAACTATTGCCTTAGCAAGTATCTTTTGAGGACCCACTTCACCTACAAGTTATTTTTCATAACATATCTCAGAGCTAGAAGGTCAACCAGAAGCCCTAATTATTCTTATTGGCTCTAATATTCTTTCTTTCTCTTCTTTCAAGACTATTAGCTCTTTTCAAACAACATAAATAGACACAGTATTAATGTTTGGTCAAGAGGATCACGAAGTTTCACTTCTGATGCGTCATGTAATTTTCTGGCTGCTTTCATGTGGACCCTTTGTGCTTTGCTGCAGGGTTCAGCAGTGTTAACATCTTACCTGGTCTTTTCAGTTACATGAATGTAGATGAAAGCACTTTATCTCACTTGATGGGACAGTCTGTGTTCCACTGCACTGTGTGTACAATGCAACAACACTACAGCTTCCTTCATTCCTCGTTATGACAACTTAATCTGGCTCATCCATGAAAACTGACATTGAACCTTGTGATCTCAACCGACCACAACACAGGTGAGGAGCACATACCCTACACAGCATACGCACTTCCCTCAGCACATGGACCTCTAGGTTTAACTAGGCTCAGAAGAGAAAAGGAAGAGGGGCAGAAGAAATATATATATACAGATTTTTTTTGTCTTTTTGAGACAGGGTCTCACTATACATTTCAGGCTGGCCTTGAGCTCACTTTGTAGCCCAGGCTGGTCTTGGACTTGTAACAATCCTCCTGCCTCAGCCTCCTGAGTGCTGCGATTACAGACAAGCACCACCATGCCTGGTGAAAATATTTTAATAAATAATAAAAAAACCTTAAAAAATGTTTTAGCACTTATTTTATTTTGTTGTTTTGTTTTGCTTTTGAGGCAAGGTCTCATTAAGTAGTTCAAGCTGGTCTTGAACTCTATGCAGCCCAGGCTGTCCTTAAACTCAAAGCAGTCCTCCTGCCTCAGCCTCCTGAGTACTGGGATTACAGGCATGTGTCACCATGCCCAGCAAAGAAAAAATAACTTAAGGAAACAAAATATTTTCCAACAAGTTTTCAGAAATAATTGAATATTTGTATTTAAGAATATCATCAACTCCTGCCTGCTGGCTCCCGGAAAGTGGGCCCCCATTGCACGGGGAGCCTCGGGTGGGGAGCGCC